GGGGGGGGGGGGGAAGCAGTTAGAAGATGAGTACAACAATTCAGTGAATGAGCTTCTCCTGGTCTGTTTGGCATACAAAACATTTTATCCTAGACATGTTCTTAAGATGGTAAAAGGCCGTTTTGTACATTGATTTGATGCGACTGCAAAAAGTCGGATCAGAATCTAGCAGCGCACCAAGATTTCGAACTTGATGCTTGCTTTGAAAGACCGTGACCCATGGCATTTACTAAGTTCTATTTTTTTAGCCAAACACAATTGTCACGATTTTTGTCATGATTCAGTTGAAGTTTTGGTTTATGCAGTTATTAAATTAGTGTTAAACTGTTACATAACTCTATCAAACTGTAGTAATTTAGAGACTATTCTAAATATTGCTGTGTGTCATCAACATAAATAATCCATCGCCCAAGACTGCCTGTTCACTATCATAGTAGGATAGTGAACATATAACATATTATTATTCAGGAGCTCTAATTCCAAATGCAGACCCTTTATATCAGGGTTGCTCAATAGGTCAATCTCAATCTACAGGTCTATCTCAAAGGTATAATGGGTAGACGGCATGGCATTAAAAAATAGATGTCAGCTTTTCATCCATTTATGAAATTTGTCACGATTGACAGACAGGGCAGCCAGTCTCAGGCCCCGTTTGCACAACGTGAAACATCCCCAAGATTTTTTGGGAAACCCCCCACGGAGGTGTGGAATGCTCCGTGAGAAGTGGCACATGTGCACTACAGGCGGCTGCAGTCCAAAGTTTTTCTGCACTAACAACAGTTATAATAAATGTCAGAGAGCAGAGTGTTTTTGTGCTGCTCACCATTTTTCCAACATGTAGGACCAAACCTAATAAAATCCAGGGTCCAAACAGACGTCAGTGTGTTCACCAGTTTGGACGTAAATGTGATCATGCAGAAGCTGCATGTATGATGAATGCAGCTGAGCCCTGCATCAGGGTTGCCAGAGAAATTAAAATATTTTATTTACCCCCTTCTTTCCTGTGAACATGTTCAACAAACTCAACACACACCTCATCTTATAATACCTTTACTCAGCACATTTGACAGTTTAGGTCAAAATATCATCATTCTAAAGACACAGTACTATAGTTCATAATTTCTTATCTGGCAACCTGACTGACATGGAAACCACAGCGATTTCATGTAAACCTGCTCATTTTTTATTGCCCCCAATAAACATTGAATAAACACTAAGGTTTCCAGAGGTTGTTCTCATGTAAATGGGGCCTTATAATAGGTAGATCACTTTGACATGGTCATTTTAAAAGTGGCTCGCATGCTGAAAAAATGTGGACACCCCTGCTTTAGATGTCTCACAAGACCACAATTGAACCAGACTGGAACTCTGTTGGACTCACGTGCATGGCTTTGAGGATGGAGAGCTGCAGCAGCGCAGCAGAGAAGCCGCGCCTCAGGGCAAGAACAAAAGCCGTCTGCTGACCGAACAGCTCCTCCATGGCTTTCTTAAGCCGAAGGTACAGCGCCCGATAACGCTCCACAAAGTCTGGAAGACTGCAGCTGGCCTCCAGAAACTTCTTAACCTGAGGAGGAGGAGTCACTGTACATTTTAAACCTTATTTCTAACAGTTAAAACAAAACATGAATCAGAGAGGCAATATTTACTCTCAGGGTTAAAGTTGAGTTTACCTGGCACTGTACCACTCCCTGCCAACAGAGGGCGATGCCTGCAATGCTGCTACTACTCTTCACTTTGGGTTTGACTGAAGATGGAGAGGAGGAAGAGGGGGCGGAAGCAGTGTCTTTGTTTTTACTCTCCTTACCATCTAGAAGACAACATTTAGAACTTTTGTTTTCCAGAACAAATCTTAGACCAGCTGAATTTTACATGAAGGAGACAGATGAAAACAGAAGCCACAAACAAATTATCAAGCGGTGCCTGCGGTCTTCTTTTTGGTCTGGAAAAAAAAATCATGTCAGAGTTGTGGCTGTGATGAAAGAGCTTGGTGATAAACACAAACGGTTCAAACTGAGAGAAAAAAAAGCTGACAATGATTCAGTTGTTTTAAGCATGAACAGACACCCTCTGCTGGATGGCGATACACCTGAAACAGTCTGTGTGCAGCGCCCCCTCGTGGTTGTGTGTAAACCAAACTCAGAAGCTTTAGCTGCCTGAAAGTAGTTTTCAATGTCGTAACATATTAAATCTTATAAAGATTCAGCCAGCAGGGGGCGCACTGCTGCCTTCCTGCATTTATAGGTACACATGAAATGAGAGCGGAGCATTAAGCTCATACTTACTCTTCAACTCTTTGCTTCTGTTGAGACCTTCTGGAAATAAAACAAACTCTTTTAGTTGTCAAATTCAGCCTTTCATTTCCTCCATCCACTTCCTGTCCACATGAATGGTTTATCAAGCCTCCTGATTAACACAAACATTTCCTATCAATAAAAATCCCCCATCTAAACGGGATATTCCAGTGAATGAGATTGCAATAGGAAGTGTTACGAGCCTTTTGCAGGAATTTTATTTCAAATTAACACTGCCATAGTTACTTGTCTGAAGAGTTATCAGAACCTCTACATTCCCTGAGCCATAGCTGAATAAACCTAGAGTCTTCTGACAAAAAACGACTACTCTGCCAGAACTGGTCAAGGAGGGCCATGGGTCCAGACTAGAGGTGCACCGATTGCAGTTATCTGGACAATCACTGATTTCTAAAATGTCTGACCTGCCGATTCCAATTTTGGCTGATAACAATTTTGTTTTATAAGTGGCACTGTCAGGAGTTATAAAGTCACAATGCACCTTCAATTTTCCAATCTTATTTTACTGAAAAACATACCCTTGAACAATATCCTGGAAACAATACAAACTGGTTTTAACTGGCCATGAGGTAGTGCTCTGAAATATAAATTAAATTCAGACAACTGTTGTTAAAACTAAAAAAAATTCGATAAAATCGGTTTCTCATGCAAGTATCGGTTGATTTCAGATTCCCCATATTTAAGGAAATCAGGGCTGATAAATCAGCGATCGGCCGGCCGATTTATCGGTGCACCCCTAGTCCAGACCTTGTCTCATGAGAAGCCCAACGCTAAAGAAGAGATTCTACGAAGCATCAAGATAATAACAGAAACCCAAGAGCTGGAATTATCAGCAAATTTACGTCAATATTATCAGTCATTAAAGACGGAAGTAGTAGCAGCTGCTTTAAAACCTAAAGATAAAGTTGCTTGGTAAACTGGAACTATTTATGATCTTAAGAGCAGAGCTAACAAGCATGGCAACTAGCTGTCAAACTAGCATAACAAGCTAAAAAAGGTAAAACTCTTTTGGAGGCACAATTTTAATTTGAAGTTTGCTGATTTGGTTTATTGAGAAGCGGGATAGTAATTATCCCTATACTTCCATACATATGAGGCGTTGTGTTGACTGTGATTATCGGATGTCTAGGAAAATGGGGAAAGTGCTAAAGAGATGAAAAAGAGAGTCCAGGCAGGATGGAGTGGATGGAGAAGTTTTTCAGGAGTGATTTGTGACAAAAAGGTGTCAGCAAAGGTCAAAGGAAAAGTTTACAAGACAGTGGTGAGACCAGCTGTGTTGTATGGTCTGGAGACAGAGACATGGACAAAAAAACAGGAGAAAGAACTGGAAGTAGCAGAAATGAAGATGTTGAGGTTCTCCTTAGGAGTGACAAGGATGGAGAAGATTAGGACTGAGCTCATCAGAGGTACAGCACAGGCTGAAAAACAAAGAGGAGATGTATAGATGCAGTTAGAGAGGACATGGAGGGAGGACAGAGGATGCAGAGGACAGAGTGAGATGGAGGAGGATGACTCACTGTGGCGACCCCTGAAGAGGGGACAGCCAAAAGACAAAGAAGATTGAATCTTTTATCTATTCATGGCTCAGCAAAAGAAGTCGCCACCTAGTGTGAGTGGGGATTTTAGGTTTGCTAGTTTTAACTGCAAGGGCCTAAAAAGTCTACCCAAACACAGAAAAGTTCTACATCATCCCAATACTCATATAATTTTATTAACAGACCTGTTTAAGAGATGTAGACCACACACCATACCGAAGAGGATTTGGGTTGGAAAGATATGTCTTTGATCCTTTTATAGCAAATCTATAGGTGCCATTCTTACCCCTTTTAATGGTAAAATATTGTTTTATTCTGCTGATAGGTTTAGAATTGTCTTGGAGCACATTTATGACAGTAAAGTAGGTCTTGTGAATGAATATGCTCCCAAATGGGATGATAATGCTTCTTTTAGACAGGGAGGGGTTATGGGTAGAATTTATATTCAATGTTAATCATTTCGGTTATCTGTTTAGCATTGTTCTTTTGGTGATTAGTCTGTTCTTGTTAGCTTAGTTTATGTGTTCATTATGTGTTAGACCATTCAGTAGAGTAACCATGAGTGAGGGAGGTAGTTGTCATGAAAACCTGTGAGGTTCACTCTGTCTGTGTGTTGAACATTAAGACAGATTCTTCATGTACAACAAGAGCTGCACATTTCTCAGTAGCTTTGTGCTGCCACTCGTTACAGCGTGAACACCCGCAGCTTATAGATGAGCGCGGCTTTTATATGTTCAATTTGTTTTTTGTTTGTTTGTTTTGTGTGTGTGCTCTATAGACCTGCAATTACGGTTTTTATGACTTTAGTTCTAGACATCTCTTTTTCTCACATATTTGCCCTACCTACATTCAATATTTTTTAAACATATCAGGCATCAGACTGTAAATATGACTAATGTAGTCAATGACCATGTTTTTAATCTTCATAAATATTAACAACCATGGCACCTAAACACCCCCTCCCTGGGTTGCCACCTTACCGTGGTGGAGGGGTTTGAGTGTCCCAATGATCCTAGGAGCTATGCTGTCAGGGGCTTTACGCCCCTAGTAGGGTCACCCATGGCAGACAGGTCCTAGGTGAGGGACCAGACAAAGTGCAGCCCAAAGACCCCGATGATGAGAGAAATAAACGGACTTAATGTTCCCTTGCCCGGACGTAGGTCACTGGGGCCCCACTCTGGAGCCAGGCCTGGAGGTGGGGCACGCGGGCGAGCACCTGGTGGCCGGGCTTTTACCCATGGAGCTCGGCCGAGCACAGCCCGAAGAGGGGACGTGGGTCCCCCTTCCCATGGGCTCACCACCTGTGGGAGGGGCCAAAGGGGTCGGGTGCAATGCGGGATGGGTGGTGGCCGAGGGCGGGGACCCTGGCGGTCTGATCCTCGGCTACAGAAGCTGGCTATTGGGACGTGGAATGTCACCTCACTGGTGGGGAAGGAGCCTGAGCTGGTGTGTGAGGCTTAGAGGTTCCGGCTAGAAATAGTCGGACTCACCTCTATGCATGGCTCTGGCTCCAGTTTCCTTGCGAGGGGTTGGACACTCTTCCACTATGGAGTTGCCCCTGGTGAGAGGCGCCGAGCAGGAGTGGGCATACTTATTGTCCCCAACTTGGTGCCTGTGTGTTGGGGTTCACCCCGGTGAATGAGAGGGTGGCCTCCCTCCGCCTACGTGTGGGGGGGATTGGTTCCGACTGTTGTTTGTGCTTATGCACCAAATGGCAGTTCAGATTATCCACCCTTTTTGGAGTCCTTGGAGGAGGTACTGGAAAGTGCACCTCCTGGGGACACCCTTGTTCTGCTGGGGGACTTCAATGCTCATGTGGGCAATGACAGTGAGACCTGGAGGGGTGTGGTTGGGAGGAACGACTCCCCTGATCTGAACCAGAGTGGTGTTCTGTTGTTGGACTTCTGTGCTCGTCATGGATTGTCAATAACGAACACCTTGTTCAAGCATTAGGGTGTCCATATGTGCTCTTGGCACCAGGACACCCTAGGCCGCAGTTCAATGATCGACTTAGTCATCGTCTCATCTGATCTGCGGCCACATGTCTTGGACATTCGGGTGAAGAGAGGGGCGGAGCTGTCCACTGATCATTACCTGGTGGTGAGTTGGCTCTGATGGTGGGGGAGGATGCCGGTCAGACCTGGCAGACCCAAACGTATTGTGAGGGGTTGCTGGGAATGTCTGGCTGAGTCTCCTGTGAGACGGAGTTTTAACTCCCACCTCCGGGAGAACTTCGAACATGTTCCGAGGGAGGTGGGGGACATTGAGTCTGAGTGGACCATGTTTCGTTCCTCTATTGTCAAGGCGGCTTACCGAAGCTGCGGCCGCAAGGTTGTCGGTGCCTGTGGTGGCGGCAACCCTCGAACCCGATGGTGGACACCGTCGGTGAGGGATGCCGTCAGGCTGAAGAAGGAGTCCTATCGGGCCTTTATGGCCTGTGGGACGCTGGAAGCAGCTGATGGGTACCGGCAGTCCAAGCGACATGTGGCTCGGGTGGTCGCTGAGGCAAAAACTCGGGCATGGGAGGAGTTAGGAGAGGCCATGGAGAATGACTTCCGCACGGCTTCGAGGCAATTCTGGTCCACCATCCGGTGTCTCGGGGGGGAAAGCGGTACGCCACCAACACTGTTTATAGTGGGAGTGGTGTGCTGCTGACCTCAACTCGGGATGTTGTGGGTCGGTGGGCGGAATACTTTGAAGACCTCCTCAATCCCACTGGCACGTCTTCCACTGAGGAAGCGGAGCCTGGGGACTCTGGGTCGGGCCCTCCAATCTCTGGTGCTGAGGTCACTGAGGTGGTTAAAAAGCTCCTCGGTGGCAGGGCCCCAGGGGTGGATGAGATTCGCCCAGAGTTCCTTAAGGCTCTGGATGTTGTAGGGTTGTGTTGGCTTACGCGACTCTGCAATATTGCGTGGACATCGGGGGAAGTTCCCCTGGATTGGCAGACCGGGGTGGTGGTCCCCCTGTTCAAAAAGGGGGACCGTAGAGTGTGTTCCAACTACAGGGGGATCACGCTCTTAAGCCTCCCTGGTAAGGTCTATTCGGGGGTTCTGGAGAGGAGGGTCCGTCGGATAGTCGAACCTCAGATTCAGGAGGAGCAGTGCGGTTTTCGTCCTGGCCGTGGAACACTGGACCAACTCTACACTCTCAGCAGGGTCCTGGAGGGTGCGTGGGAGTTTGCCTAACCGGTCTACATGTGCTTTGTGGACTTGGAAAAGGCGTTCGACCACGTCCCTCGGGGAACCCTGTGGGGGGTACTCTGGGAGTATGGGGTACAGGGCCCTTTGACATGGGCTGTTAGGTCCCTGTATGACCGGTGTCAGAGCCTGGTCTGCATCGCCGGCAGTAAGTCGGGCTTGTTCCCAGTGAGAGTTGGACTCCGCCAAGGTTGCCCTTTGTCACCGATTCTGTTCATAACTTTTATGGACAGAATTTCTAGGCGTGGCCAAGGTGTTGAGGGGATCCGTTTTGGTGGCCTTAGGATTGCGTCTCTGCTTTTTGCAGATGATGTGGTCTTATTGGCTTCATCAGATCGTGATCTACAGCTTTCGCTGGAGCGGTTCGCAGCCGAATGTGACGCGGCCGGGATGAAGATCAGTTCCTCCGAATCCAAGGCCATGGTCTTGAGCTAGAAAAGGGTAGAGTGCCCTCTCCGGGTCAGGGAGGAGGTCCTACCCTCATCTATGGTCACGAGCTTTGGGTTGTGACCGAAAGAATGAGATCTCGGATACGAGCGGCCGAAATTAGTTTTCTCCGCAGGGTGTCTGGGTTCTCCCTTAGAGATAGGGTGAGAAGCTCGATCATCCGGGAGGGACTCAGAGTAGAGCCGCTGCTTCTCCACGTCGAGAGTAGCCAGTTGAGGTGGCTTGGGCATCTGTTTAGGATGCCTTCTGGACGCCTCCCTGGTGAGGTGTTCCGGACACGTCCCACCGGAAGGAGGCCCAGAGGAAGACCCAGGACACGCTGGAGGGACTATATTTCTCGGCTGAGCCTGGGAACGCCTCGGGATTCCCCCGGAAGAGCTGGCCCAAGTGGCTGGGGAGAGTGAAGTCTGGGCTTCCCTACTTAGGCTGCTACCCCCGCGACCTGACCCCGGATAAGCGGAAGAAAATGGATGGATGGATGGCACCTAAACACACATCTACCCCTAAATATGACTGTCAACTTTGTCTCTAAACATGGTCACCAGGACTCTTGAGGTCACAGCCTCCCTTCACTAAAACGTTGAAGACTTTAATGGGGAGATTATTTCTTACAGGCAGGGCCCATCAGAGAATATCTAGATGAGAGAACCTAACCAGTTTTTCTAAGCACATTGCATTTCTACATTCTTTATACTCCACTTCTAAGCAGTCTGATAAGTATAAAGAATCAATGTCTTTGCAAGCCAAATCTGATTTTATCACCATTGAACTTTTTCTCAGTTTGAGATCCAAATTTTATGAACAGAGGAATAGGACAAGTAAATTGCTAAATCATCAACCAGCTCCTCTGATTTTGAGGTGTCTCCCTCCTCACTGAGAGCAGTGATTTTTGTAAATATATATAAATATCTTTGACTTTTCAAATACTTCCACTGTGTAGAAAACTGTATGAGAGAGAGTTAGGACAGTTGATTTTAGATGTTTGGGGGAGGTTTGAAAGAGGGTACACAAATCAGTGTGTGTAGGCACAGTTTCATGCAATGTCAGATTCTCCTCTAAGCTCACTGGAATAAAGAAAAACATCAGAGAAGTGTCCCTCGGTGTGATCGATGTCAGCAGGACACAAGAAGTTACTCATGTACTGGAGCAGTTCCTCCATGAAGAGGTTCTGCTCTCAAGTTGTTCTCACATTATTTGGAGAAGATATCGCTCCTGATGTCTCAACTGTCCTGGTTAGACTGTGACCCACTTCACTACTAACAGTGATAAGAACTCTGCTGGCCAGGAGGCTAATCCTGCTAACCTGGAGATCTGCAGCTACACCTACAGATACAAGCTGATCAGAGACATCCTGAATTTTATTACAGTGGGGAAAAAAGTCACAGTGACTCGAGCTGTAAGGCTGGATCATTTAAAATAACCTGGAATATCTTTCTGTCCTGAATTAAATGTACAAATAATCACATCATTCTGAACAGTTTTGATGAATGTGTGTCAGTGTGTGTGTGGATATGCATATATCTGTGTACATTCCAAATGTGTTTGGAAGTCAATGTGTATATGTAATCTTATTTTTTATATTAATTTCTTTAACCATGTTTTTCTGCTCGGTTGTTAGGGGTAAGTGTCAAGTTTGGTGGTGTTTATTGACTAAATCTGTAAAACTAGTTATGATGGTTCCACACTTACTGGACTTGATGGGCGGTTTGAGCTCCTCGCCATCCACTTGACTTGTGTCCACGTGAACCAGCAGGTGTGTGAGACGTCTCACTCTGGAGTTAAAGATGGCCGCCCGACTTTTACAGCGACGAGCAGACTCGGCGTTGTCCAGGTATTCGCTGAGTAGCCAGGACAAAGGGCTGCTTTCTGAGGATTCTAGGGGAACACAACAAAAGCACACACTTACAGCCCTGACCCGTTCAACGTCATCACACGGGTCAACAGAGGAGGTTTCTGGGCATTTTGTTGTGGTCCTGTTAAATCCAGGGATTGAACTAACGTGTGTGTTACAGTGTGTTACACTATGTATTACTGTGAGTTACGCAATTGATAACATTTTCTCGACAAGAAGACAGGGCGAAGGAGAGCCCTCTTGCCCTGACGAGACACTCGCAGCTGGATAAACGATGGATTCCTGGGGGCAGTGGAAGATCATGTGCCTGTCCATACTGTCGGTCGAGGATGTAGAAGACGCGTACATATTTGAATTTATAACAGGATTTCTGCGTTTTGGAGTCGGCGGTTACCTGGCTTATCGACAAATGTGGAAAATGTCGGCAGCCGTTCTGGCCTTGGTAAAGCTGCCCGCCTTGTATGAAGGAATGTACCGAGCGGTAAATTCTCAGACTCAGACGCTGCATGAGCTGAGCCTTAAGCTGGACGCGATTTCTGAGAATCGCAGGGCACTTGTGGCTTCTAGAACCCACTGGCAGGAAGGAATCTATCTTGGAGAAGACTACAAGCTCGGCCCAGCAGTGTGACCACAACATTTGGCTGTTTGGAATTGCCAGTGAGACATACCAGCAGAACTTTGAAGGCAGACATGGAAATTCAAGCAGATGCTGCCTGACCCAAAATAACTGTGTTCTCTGAATTTAGCTTCCCTATTCGGCCTTGAATTGTCCAGCTATCTCAAATCTCTCCTGGTTGTTTATGAGAACAAGAAGCTATGCTTCACTGAATTGTTGGGTCTGACGTACCGCATCTTCCTCTTCAGAGAACATAACTTTGGTCCACTCGGCAGCAGTCCCAGCCAAGACGCTTCTGACACCATCTTAGTTCAAGAGTGGCTTGACACAAGGAATGCTACAGCTAAACCCATGTCTTGCATACGTCTGTGTGTGGTGGTTCTTGAAGCACTGACTCCAGCTGCAGTCCACTCTTTGTGAATCTCCCCCACATATTGGAATGGGTTTTGTTTCACCATCCGCTCCAGGGTGCGGTTATTCCTATCGTTTGTACACTTTTTCTACCACATTGTTTCCTTCCCTTTGCCTCTCTATTAATGTGCTTGGACAGAGAGCTCAGTGAACAGCCACCCTCTTTAGCAATGACCTTTTGTGTCTTGCCCTCCTTGTGCAAGGTGTCAATGATCGTCTTTTGGACAACTGTCAAGTCAGCAGTCTTCTTCATGATTGTGTAGTCTACAGAACTAGACTGAGAGACCCAAAAAAGTTAAGTCTGGTCCTCTGGACATTCAAAAACAACACAAACAAACAAAAAAAGGGAGAAACGTTTCGTCTTTCATCTGAAAGACTTCTTCAGTTTGAGGTGCTGTATTCAGCTCAGTCTTATAAATAGCACCTTCTCGTAGTGGATCAACCAGTTTGCTGCTGACAACCAAAACTAGCTAGTCACATCCACTACGGTGATCCACTACGAGAAGGTGCTATTTATAAGACGGAGCTGAATACAGCACCTCAGACTGAAGAAGTCTTTTGGATGAATAAGAAAACATTTCTACTTTTTTTGATTGTTTGTTTTGTGGAGTTTGCACGTTCTCTCCGTGCATGTGTGGGTTTCCTCCAGGTACTCCGGTTTCCTCCCACAGACCAAAAACATGCATGTTAGACTGATTGGTAACTAAATTGTCCCTAGGTGTGAGTGAGAGAGTGAATGGTTGTTTGTCTCTATGTGGCCCTGTGATGGACTTACGACCCATCCAGGGTGTACCCCGCCCCTCGCACAGTGATTGCTGGACATGGGCACCGGCGACCCCCGTGACCCAAAATGGAAGAAGCGGGTAAAAGATAACGGGGCTGAGATGGTGTAGAGGCAGGGCAACCGGCTTGGGACCCGAAAGTTCCAGGTTCGATCCCCAGTCACTGGATACCGCGTGGTGTCTCTGGGCAGCACACCTCATCCCCAAAATGCCCCCCAGGTGCTTTTAATAGCTGCCCACTGCACCACCTGGTGGTGGATGGGTTAAATGCAGAGACTAATTTCGCCATTGTATGGAAACATACAGTGCTGACATTGTGATGACTAGGGCTGCAACAACGAATTGATAAAATCGATAAAAATCTATGATTAAAAGCGTTGGCAACGAATTTCATTATCGATTCGTTGTGTCGCGCGATTATGCGTCTTTCACGGCGCTGCGGAGCCGTTGCGTTTTGTTCATGGGCAGTTCATTGTCAATGCTGACTGACTGAATAAAGTTTGAAAAAAAAAAAAAACCTCTGCAGCGTGAGGGGGGCGGAGGAAGAAAAGCAGAGTCTGTTTTCAAAGCAAAATAAGTAAATTTTACAAATGACCGACGCAGTGAAAACTGTTCGACCCAAGTCCTCCAAAGTGTGGGAGAACTTCACAAAGATAAAAAAATGAGAAACATGCCGCTTTGAAAATCGCCTACGCGACACGGGAGAACCACGCTGATAAACGCAAACATGTCGGAGTCACGAGCTGCAGCTGATACAACATGTCTCACTCCCAACTTGTGTTGCAGGTGAGTCTCTACAATTTAACATTGTTCTGTTTCCAAGAGAGAAAACGTAACGTCAGTCTGTCTGGTAGATGAAGCTGCTGTTTGTTTGTTTGTTTGCTGATTAATGACGGTGATAGAGAACGCGTGTGTGACTTTTTATTTAATTTAATTGGTACAAGCAGTGTTTAAATGTGATTTATAAATAAATCTAACACAAAGATAATAATTTAATGATTAAGCTTCAACTTTTAATTTGCTGGCAAAGACTGAAGACACTGCAGGTATGGCAGGATGAATTGCATTTAAAAAGGAATTAAAGTAATTTATTACATCTACTCAAATGTGTGTAATTAAGTATTTTGTGTGTGTGTGTGTGTGTGTGTGTGTGTGTGTGTGTTTAATTGCTCTTTGAGCTACTTTTGCCTGAACCTAACACTGTAAGTGAAACAAGGCATTTCTTGAGTTGCTGTAAATTATGTTATAATACATATTTACTCTCATTCCAGAAAACAACAACACACAATGACATCCTTCATAATGGACAGACATCATGGACACCACAGCAGCAGCTGTCTTCACTGAAATCATCCTGAACATGATCATCACTGACATGAGGCCTCTGTCGATGGTTGAAGACGAAGGCTTCACTACAATGATCCACACTTTTAATCCAAGTTACAATAATCCACACTTTTAATCCAGGTTCCACTCTTCCCTCAAGGACACATTTTACAAAGTAGCTACATATTTTGCAGGTATAAAGCAGACATTTGTATATATTTTTGTGTACATTTATTTTTTTTAAGAAATTTGACTAACTTTTATTTTTATTATTCAATATTTTACTAACAGATTAGTCAAATACCAACCTGTTTTTTGTGTGAATTGCTATGTCAGTCAAATGTTCAATTTTGGAATAAAGGGGTGGAAATTAAAACTTTTTTTTTTTTTTTGCCGATTCATCGATTAATCGAAAAAATAATCGGCTGATGAATCGATTATTGAAATAATCGTTAGTTGCAGCCCTAGTGATGACATTATTATTATTATTATTATTATTATAATGGATGGATGTTTGTTTTGTTTTTTGATTGTCCAGAGGACTAGACTTAATTTTGGATTTTTCTACCTGGATTATTGAGCATGCATCAGGATAGACTGAGACCATTTAAAGGCCTTTGCAGGTGTTTTGAGTTAATCAACTGATTAGACTGTGGCACCAAGTGTCTTCAATATTGAACCTTTTCACAATATTCTAATTTTCTTAGATATTGAATGTGGGGTTTTCATTAGTTGTGATTTATAATAAACATCAAAAGACAAACATTTGAAATATATCAGTCTGTGTGTAATGAATGAATATAATACACACTCACACTTTTTCATTCTAATTTTATGACCAGCACCTGTAATTTTGTTGTGCTTCAGTGCAATGACAATAAAGCTGATTCTGATTACTGTGTGTGTTACTGTGTATGTACCTGACAGAGTGATGCTGTGGACAATGGGGGTGATCAGAGCCTCCCAGCAGGTCTGACCCAGAGCTTCAGCTGCCTCGGCATCGGTCAGGAATCTATCTGCAAACATCTGCTCATGTCTGAGCGCGTTGTTCAGCCTGCAGTGCACACACACGCACGTACACACACACACACACACACACGTGTTTATTGAGAACGCTGCAGCAGCTGCAGCTCGTTGCAGCATTTTGAGTCATACTTGTTGAAGAGCTGCAGCAGCTGCGTCTTGTCCTCCACCACCTCCTGACACCACGTGTGGGCCTTGGTGCTGTAAAACAGGTAGGTGCGACGGCACAGCTGCTCCTTGAAGACGGGCCAGAAGGTGGGCTTTGGACCCAAAACCTCAAAACCGTGGACCCGAGTGTCTATCCCGCCCTACGACAAAAAGGAAGGATTTAGAACACAAAGGAGGGAACGCAGCTGAAACAGAACAGAGTCTGACCTGCTGGCATCTCTTGATCCTGATCTGGATAATGGACCAGAACCGGGACATGTTCTCCAGCAGAACTACCCGGCTGGCAGAGGGCGCCACATTCACCTGTAGAGACACAGAAGGGTCATTAACTAGATGAACAGACGCCATCTTTAATGTGCCACGCAGACTTCAGACTCACCGTGTTGAGCTCCGTGTTGATATTGGTCGGGTCGTCTCCCCCCAGAATTAGGATCCGGGCCGGCATGTAGCTCGAGTCCTCACTGGCCACCAAGATGGCAAGTTGTCTGGCAAAGAAAAACAACATGTTGTGAAACTTGTAAAAAAAAACAACCAAAAAAAAAAAAAAACCCCAATAACTAGAGAAATTGCAATTTCTGTAAAAACGCAGTGTGAATGCTGATTGCTGAACGATTTCGCTGAAAACTGCTTAAAACACTAGTTTACTTGAAATACCCCCCTCGGCTGCTCCCTTCTTCAGGGGTCACCACAGTTAACTCAGCACTAAGACTTGGCAGTTGTTTTTATGCCGGATGCCCTTCCTGACACAACTACAGACCACCGAGCTACCACACCCCACTGTGTGGAGAAGAGCCATCTAGGGTAGCCAGGGGAGCAGATGGTGGGGGTTAAGGGTCTTGCTCAAGGGCCCAGAGTGGAGCAAATGAGGGTGGAGGCAGGTGTGGGTGCTTCACCTATCCCACCCACATTTTGATGTTGTCTGTACCGGGAGTTGAACCGGCGATCTTCTGATCACAAGCCCAACTTCTCTAACCTCTGCGCCACCACCCCCCACATTACTTGAAATACATCAATACCTAAAAATTTGAAAGATGAAGCTGCAAGAAGCACAAAGAGCAAAAAATATATATAAAAATGCAGACAAAGCTTGAAATTAGATTAAAACAAGCAATATGTGCAGAAAAGGAGTGATTAGCGCAACAACAAAAAAAGTAGATGAAAAAAAAACCCCAAAAAGCTTTAGAAGAACGAAGCTAAAATGAGCCAAAAATGGGTAAAACAAGCACGCACACACAAAAAAAGACCTTTAAAACAAACCTAATGCTGAAAATAGCATGGATCAAAAAAATCAGAGCCCAACAAACATAAAAAAAAAAAAAACGGTTAAGAAACCCAAAAAACAGCCCAACACACCTTAAAACAACCTAAAAATAATTTTTAAACAGGATAAGAAAACCTAAAAACAGCAGAGCAAAACCTAACCAGAAAGTTCCTGGAGAAACTTTGACGAGGACTGCCACGTTGTGGCCATTTTGGCCCATAAGCCTAACCTGTATAAATCAATCAATCAACCTTTATTTAGACAGATAAATCCCATTGAGCCTCGAGGAGTCATTTACAAGAGAGACCTGATTTCAACAAAGAAAGATGACAACAATGGACAACAGCGACAACAATAAACAGTTATAAAAAGTCATACTACAGTTTTTTTTTTTTTAAACAAATAGGATGGCTAAAAGGAAAAGGTAACGAAACAAAAAACAGCTAGATTCCAAGACAAATGTAGAAAACTAAAAACAGGAACATGTCTGCGTTGGTCCCTGCCAGGTGTCCAACAGATTCTTAAAGACACTTAGAGAGGTCAAGGTCGAGAGCTTCAAATCTTTTTGTAAGATATTCCAGGAAACAGGAGCGGAGTAGGAGGTAAATAAAGGTTGAATGAATGAATGAATTTTAAAATTTAGATTTGACAGTACAATGCGTTGGGGTTCGCTCTCAGCTAACTAAATGTTGAGCCACAAGTGACCGCTACAAAATCCTATGGACTTGAGTGGCGCTGAGGAGACCTTGTTCACCTGATCACTACAAGAGACAAAACTTAGGCCCCACCCACCTGATGACCACGCCTTTGTGCATGTAGATGTTGATGAAGTGAGAGCCTGTGCAGCCGTTTGATTCCCAGTAGGTTTTTGGGTTCTTATCGGTCAGCTTGTTAGCTCGATGGTGATTGGACGAAACCTCCACCTTCTCCCAGCATTTGTCTTCCTTCAGCTCCACACTGGATCCTGAACATAGACCAATCAGACCAGGTCCACATGCCCTCCTCTACACAAACAAAAAAAACAAACAATCCGAACTGACCTTGGCACAGGTTTCTGAGGAAGACATCAAAGAAGGGTATGTTGATTGGTTGGTGGCTGCGGCGATGTTCCTCAATGTGACCCAGCACCATCTGACATGAAAATATACGTATAATCAAGATGAGAAACAGTGCCGGCACATAGAGAAGACTGTTAAGAAGCAACACAGGCATCTTTAGCTGAGTGGCAGACCATAAAAATGAGATTCAGTGACTGAAGTCAGAGAAGGAGTCACGTAGCTTTATGTTTCATCTGTGAGTATTAGGTCGTATGAGCTCAGAAAGCACAAAACATGTTATTAAATCTTTGAAAACATGAGTTTTTCAGCTTTTATTTGTCTTGTGAAAAGTAACTGCTAACAAAAAACACTTTATAAACCAAAAACCTCTGTACTCAAGTGAAAAACTTCACGTTTTTAATACATCAATATCTGTATCCATTCCAGGAAGATGAATGAATTAATTAAAGAGAAGTAACTGTTCATTAAGACCAGAATCAGGTACGATGGACGTGTAGTGATAAAAACACTGTTCCCGTGTTACACAGTCCAAATGTTGCAGATCTATAGAGCACAGGTCTGCAGCAGAGGTCTGAAACCTTCAGTTAAATAATTTAAAATAATAATTTGCATAGAAACAAAAACAACCTGACTGGTAAAGCTGGGATAAAAACATGTTGACCTCTTTTAGTAAAAGCCCACAGACTGACACTTGACAGAAGGTAAGAGACGGACTGGACTGACACCTGACAGAACGTAAAGGATAGACGGGACCGACACCTGACAGAAGGTAAAGGATAGACGGGACCGACACCTGACAGAAGGTAAGAGATGGACTGGACTGACACCTGACAGAAGGTAAAGGATAGACGGGACCAACACCTGACAGAAGGTAAGAGATGGACTGGACCGACACCTGACAGCAGACTAGACACGGACCGGACCGACACCTGACGGAAGGTAAGACATGGACTCAACTAGGGCAGGGCGATATCTTGATAATTTTAAAATAGAGATTTTTAAAAATATTTTATTGCAATACAAGTTGAGACTATCTCGATATAAAATAATATAGTTTTATACTTGGAAATCCTGCCGTCTTTTTTCTCACAGGCGGCCCCCCTCCTTCTACCAAGACAGCTAATTCTTTAGCAGTCTTGTTAGCTGCTAAGGACCATATCTTTAGCCATATGATAAACTGCTGATTTATTAATGTTGCGCTTCCTCTCTGTGTTCCTCTAAAAGGCACACAGCACGACTAAATGAGCTTTGAACCGTGATTTGCTTCAAGGAAGGAGACAGGTCTGTCAGATCTGCAGCTTCGAGGTTCCAAGTGGAGGCTCACTACCGCAGTTCACACACGCTTACTAACGTGAAGGCAGCACAGTTGAATGGACTATATAGCGCCTTTCTATCTTATCAAGGCACTCAAAGCTCTTTACAACACAATCTGTGCCCTCATTTACCCATTCAAACAGCACTCGACTAGATCTCTACAAAGATTAATCAGAGCTTTATCACATTCATACATCGATGGGACACACATCGAAGGCAATGAGGGGTTCAGTGTCTTGCCAAGGAAAACTTCAGCATGTAACTACTGATGGAATCAAACCCCCAACTCTCCAATTGGAGGACAACTGCTCTAGCCTCCCAGCTGAAGAGGATTATTATTTAATATATGTAAATAGATGTCTAAAAAATAAACTATTTAATATATGTAAATAGTTTATGTTTTTAGGCATTTATTTTGTACAGTTACAGCTGTTAATAAATGTGCCTGTGTGACAATTGGGACAACAATTTGACTCAAATATATTTTTGTTACTTTATGGAAAGAAAAAATATAGATATACACATCGTATATCGCAATTTTTGTAAAAATATTGAGATATTATTTTCGGTCCATATCGCCCAACTCTAGACTGGACCAACACCTGACAGAAGGTAAGGTCGTTTTCACACCAGATAGTCCAGTAGACTCAGTTCGGTTGGGGACCAATATTCATGACATTTTGTTTACATTTGAGCTGGTGCGTTTGCATTCACACTGCACTGTGCAGTCGAGTCAACCTGTTGAACCAACCTATTCCCCCACTCGCCTGTGGGGGCGCTGCAACAAGAACTACTGAAAGAAATGACACAAAAACCTCTGAAGACACGTCTTCTTCTTCTTCTGTAAATAAAAATAAAAACGAAGTGGCATCAAGTTTTAGCAGTTTTAGGAGATATGTTTTGTTATTTTTCAAAAAATGGACTTAGCATGAGCAGAAGATGAGACAGAAGACCATGGAGAATATTGTTTTTCCACACAAAGCAGCTGACGGCTCCATATAAGGTCAGAGAAATGGTGTTTGTTTACCCTGTGGAGCGGGGCTCGGTCTGTTTACATTCACACTGTACTTGAACCGCGCTGGAGTTCACTTCTACCGGACCGAGACCTAGGTTTTAGCCCGGGCCAGAGTTCGCCTTTTTGTTCCGTGACAGAGTTTGATGGAGCGTTCATACCTCCCCAGACGAACCGGACTTTCTAGGAAAACGAGCTAGAGTTCGATTAAAGCGGACTAAACAGGGCTGGTGTGAATACACCCTAAGAAATGAACTGGACCAACACCTGACAGATGGCAAGAGATGGACCAGACCGACATCTGACAGAAGGTAAGATACGGACCGGATTGACACATGACAGAGGATAAGAGACAGACCGGACCGACACCTGACAGAAGGTAAGAGATGAACAGGACTGGCACCTGACAGAAGGTAAGAGATGGACCGGATTGACACCTGACAGAAG